GTGTTCTTGTTTCCTCTCCTAGTTGAATGGGTAAATTGACTTCATGGGAAAAAAATTGGCACCAAGTAGCAGATATGCTCACTATATTATTCATGGAATTGGTCATAGTGGCTCCTCACTTTTCTTTGCCAATCTTTACTGGTTATAGGTGTTTGGTGTTGTGGCTCACTGAGCTTTATAGGCTACAAAATATGCAGTTCACTGAGCTTTGTATGTGTAAGCTATGGTAATGGTAAATGTTAAAGTTATATGTGAGTATACTTTGTATGTTTAATACTTTATACTTTATATATTTAGCATTTGTGCAGTTCTATGAAAGTTGAAGTTCTGTGCTATCAAGATAAAGCCTCAAGTATCTAATTTAGTAGATACCGATGAATCCAAAGTAGAACAAATTTAAACCCTATTCACCTTCTTCTTCCTTTTCGACCTCTTATATATTATTGGCTGCTTGAAAAGGTGTAGTTATAGAAAGCTAAACATGCCAAGGGGATCCCTCAGCTCTTTCAATTGTCCGACTTTGAGATTGAGTGTTTATTGGATAGCTTCCATTAAAGATGTGATTAAATCTGATCTTTTTTTGCATACAACTTCCATTCGGGATTTCAAACTATTGGCTACAATGTACTCTGCCTTTTTTGAGGATTCTTTATTAATCTTAGGCTGTAACCTACATCTTTAAATGTGCAAAATGTTGCTAGCTCTATGCCAGACACTAACAGGCTGTCTATTTTTTTTTTTTTTTATGTATTGTTGCTCATTTTACTGGTTTTTTAAAGGGTTGAAAATTAGTTCTAGTGAACATTGAATATATAAGATGGACATGTATGCATATTTTGTAGCTCTTTGTTCCCCTTCTTAGTATTTATTATAGTTGTTTACATAATTGAAGAATTTTATTTTGTTGATTTGGTGCTTAGTACTCATCTCTGATTGTTTATTGAATTTGATTACAGGAGGTGGTGACTTTAAATTGTTTGCAAGAGAAAAAGGAAGTAGACATCCATTATGGACTTGTTCGTATTAAGGGAAAATCAGATTCTGATCCTGCAAGCTTTAAACCTATCAAATTCCATTTATATATAGGATTATTTTGTTTTAGTTCTTAGACTTGAAATGAACACATTTGGTTTACCAACATTTGGGTTGAGTTGGTCTTGGTGCTTGTGTTGTAGATGATGAAGATGTCAATATTGTTAAGCTGTAAACTTATTTGATAGGTTGTTAATACAAGGTGTCGTCATTCCCAAATTAATGGGTAGGCCAATATACAAAGGGAACTCTGTCGAAATTTTTACTTGATTTTATTTTTAAATTTTTTTGTCTCGCGCTATTATATTATATGAAGGGATATAATTGATGGCAAAATATAATGTTGTTTTAATGTTTGGTATTTAAAAAAATGAAAATTGTCATTTGAATCACTCTTTAAAAAAGAAGCGACGTAAACAACTCATATAATCTTTCTCAAACCAGTACATTTGCGTCACTCGTTTATTAAAGAAGTGACGTAAATAACAGAATATATGTAATTAAAAAGAGTCATTTGCGTCACTCATTTAACAAACGAGTGACGCAAATAACTCTTATTTGCGTCGCACATTTATAAACGAGCGACGCAAATAACACTTATTTGCGTCGCTCCTAGGAGCGACGCAAATGACTTTGCAGTCATTTGCGTCGCGAGCAGTTGTGTCGCTCATAGAAGCGACGCAAATGCACCCTAAATGAGCGACGCAAATGAATGATTTTGTACTAGTGCACATAACTTCAGAAAAGGAGGAAGAGAAACATATGGTTCCATATGTGCATGTTCAACATTTGGATGATAAGCACGAGTATACAATCTTGTTCTTCCCACCACCTGCTTGGGTGAGATGGAGGTATCCCACTTGTGATAATGCTGCATTCAACTTGCACGAGTTGAAGTTTCATGAAGTTATTGAGCTTATGGTATTTGACATTATGTTAGTCCTGGTAATAATGTAGGGAACTTTGATAGCTTTGAATTCTTTTATTTTTTCTAATGCAGTATAGCTCTGAATTGGAGGGGGCATATAATGCACAAGTGTTTTATTTTTGAAAAGTTGGATTGTGACTTGTGAGCCATAGGAGCTGAGCAATATTTTAATTATTAATTATCAATTATCAATTATTAATTATCAATTATTATTAATTGTTCATTATTGATTGTTCATAATTAATTATTAATTATTAGTTATTAGTTATTAGTTATTAGTTATTAGTTATTATTATTAATTATTAATTATTAATTATTAATTATTAATTATTAATTATTAATTATTAATTATTAATTATTAATTAATTATTAATTATTAATTATTAATTATTAATTATTAATTATTAATTATTAATTATTAATTATTAATTATTAATTATTAATTATTAATTATTAATTATTAATTATTAATTATTAATTATTAATTATTAATTATTAATTATTAATTATTAATTATTAATTATTAATTATTAATTATTAATTATTAATTATTAATTATTAATTATTAATTATTAATTATTAATTATTAATTATTAATTATTAATTATTAATTATTAATTATTAATTATTAATTATTAATTATTAATTATTAATTATTAATTATTAATTATTAATTATTAATTATTAATTATTAATTATTAATTATTAATTATTAATTATTAATTATTAATTATTAATTATTAATTATTAATTATTAATTATTAATTATTAATTATTAATTATTAATTATTAATTATTAATTATTAATTATTAATTATTAATTATTAATTATTAATTATTAATTAAATTCAGGGCTTATTCTAAAAGATGTTCTCTATGTTGCTGATTTTAAGTTCAACTTGGTCTCAATTCCTAAGATCTGCATGGACTTACACTGCTCAGCTATATTCACTGATAACACATGTGTTCTTCAGAATACTTCAATGAAGCCACTTGTGCTTGGTAAATTAAAGGATGATTTTTACTACTTGGAAGATTCTTTGATTCAATTTATAAGTCAGAAGTTCACAGCTGCAGTTGCAAAATCAGATGATATAAGTCAGACAAAGTTATGGCACCTCAGAATGGGACATATGCCTATTCAACAGCTAGGGTATGTTTCCTCTTTTAATAATGTTGTTAGTTTGGGAGATTCTTTCTGTCAATTGTGTCCAATTGCTAAACAACATAGACTTCCCTTTCAGTCTAGTTGTATTAAATCTTGTTCAGCTTTTGAGATGTTACACTTGGATATTTGGGGCCCTTATAGGGAAATTACACATACGGGTTGCAAGCTTTTTCTAACAATTGTGGATGACTTCACAAGAATGACCTGGGTATTTTTCATGAAATACAAGTCTGATGTGTTTAGTGTATTTCAGAATTTTGTCAAGTTTGTTGAGAATCAAATTTCTGTTTCCATTAAAAGAATCAGAACTGATAATGCCTTAGAATTGTGTGAAGGAGAAATGAAAGTTTATTACTTAAAAAAGGGCATTGAGCATCACAGAAGTTGTACAGACACCCCTCAGCAAAATGGGGTTGTTGAGAGAAAACACAAGCATTTATTGGAAGTTGCTAGGGCTTTATTCTTTCAATCTAAACTTCCTGTGAAATATTGGAATGAGTGTATTCTTTGTGCAGTTCACATTATCAATAAAATGCCTTTGAGTGTTTTACACAATTGTAGTCCCTATGAAAAATTGTTTGGTCATCCTCCTGCCTTGGACTATCTCAGAGTTTTTGGGTGTTTGTGATATACTTCTACTTTGAAGCAAGGCAGAAGTAAGCTAGACCCTAGAGCCAAAGCTTGTGTGTTTATTGGATATTCTCCTAGTCAAAAAGGGTACAAAGTACTTGATCTTGACAGTCATACAGTTTTCATTTCTAGAGACATAACCTTCAAGGAGCATCACTTTCCTTTTCACTTCTCTTCCACCCAAACACATTCTAGCTCTACACCATTTTTTCTTCCTACCCTTACAGATTTTACTCCTATTCATGATGATAATCTTCCTGAAATATTCCATTTTCATAACACCATTTTTGAATCCCTCACCTTCTCTTTCTGATTCTCATTCACTGAGTTCCCTCTCTTTCATCCTCTTCAGAGAAAAAATTGAAAAAGCGAGTCCATGTGCCGGACATTCTCGCCGAAAAATGCAAATGGGTAGTGCTACCCTAACTTTATAAATTTAGGGGTAGTTTTTTTGATAAAATTTTTTAGTGGGTAGTTGTTTTCAAATACCCCTATTAAGCATGTAGTTCTGACAAATTTTCCTTTAAACAATCATATTGGTAGTATCTTTTTAATCTCATAAGTCATAAATTTTAAATTTATCAAAACAACTAACCAGTACAATATTATTGCTAAACATTTTAAAGTATTATTCTCTAATCAGTATATAAAATTGGTGCAATCATGATGTCCACATTCCTATCAATTTAGAAGGTAAATTTAATTTGGTTTGTTAATACTAATAATGCTATATATGGGATTTTTAAACCATTCATGAATTGTTTTTAAATAATCCGAAGTTTGGATTATAAAATCAAATTTAGTTTCTTAACAAATAAAGGGTAATATGTGTTAGGACTTTATGCATTAAAAAAAAAGGGTGATATGTGATAATGAGTTTTTTTTTTTTTTTTTTTTTTTTTTTGAGGGGAATGTGATAATGAGTTGATAATAACCTACTATTTTTAACCTGTTTAAGGGTTTATAAAAAATACTCCGTGAAATTGTAGAAATAATAATAATTTTAATAATGATAATATATCCCATAGAAAAAAAAGATGATAATATAATTTGGTATATTAAATGACAGCTATCATAAAAATCCAAACTTCATGTTTTCAACCATCAAACACTTTAAAAAACCCCAACTCCGTGTAAAAAATTAACAAAGAGTGATAATCACCAATCTTTTTATCAATCAAACCATTGAACTCCCTTCTCAACCATTCAGTTTAACCTAAACGTCTCCTCAAACAATCAAAGATGGCCCCGAAGAGAAGAAGGCAAGATAAATTTGCATATGAAAATCAAAGTGATTTGAAAAATCTTCGAAGCGATATCTTGTTCGAAATATACAAACACCTCGATGATGATAACATCGATAACGAGTTTGAGCTTCGAAGGATGCGCTCTGTTTGCTCTTCATGGCGCTCTTCGCTCTTGCCCCTAAAGAAACCTCTTCAATTTCCTCTTAAACTCCCACCACCGCCTTCTTCCTTATACTCGAAAAGTCGCTCCAATAAACCTTTCACAACGGCATACCTTTCGCGAAGCAATATATTAGTATTTCCCCCTCCTTCAGGTGTAGAACACCAAGAAAGTGGTTGGATTGTAAAGGTTGAACAACGGGCTGAATCGAGTATATTGTGCCTAGAAAACCCGTTGCTTACGCTGCCTGCATCATTCGAACACCCTTCATTGTTTAGAGGATCTTTCGATATGATCGAGTGCAATGTCAAGGAAATAACTAAGTCTTATTGGTTTGAATATGGTAGAAACAATGAACAAAACCCGAGAAAAGCTAAAGCAGTTGTATGTTGGAATAATAATTCTAAAGACAAGTACAATGATTTCACCGTATTGGTATTGTTTGAAGTAGGAAAGTTGGGTTTGTGGAGGCCGGGTGAAGCGGAATGGAGCATTATACCAGATCCTTTTATAGAGATTATATACTGATGACTCCACCTTGTTGTTTCCCTTGTTGTTTCGTTTATATTCCTACTTAGTTTTATATTCGATGATGGAAGTCAAAATGAATAGTCAATGTTTATTTAATATGCTAATATGTTTAGTTTATTTATCTTAGCTTATTTTATGATTCTGTCAAATTATATTCGAATATATCCTGCTAACCTATTCGTATATTATGCTATAAGCATGTTTATGTTTTTATTATTCTTTAAGTAACTGATTTTATCTTTATGTTTCTAAGATAATATTTTCTGTCAAATGTATTTATTTATCTAGCTTATTATTTATCTTATTTGGTTGTTGAATTTTTCTGAATATGATAAGATTTCTGTTTAAGATAAATATTGATGTTACTTGTGCTTGCTGACCTGGTTTTTAGGAAGCTAAGTATGCTGTAACAGATTTCTAGCTGGAAGATAAACGTTGAATTTAAAAGCAGCTTTGAAGTTTGAATTTGAAAGCTTCGAAATTTCAGGAGTTTGTTGAAGACCCAGAGACTGCTGGCAACGTTTTAAAGTCAGCTTCAAAGCCTTATAAATAGCATGAAGATCAACCGGTTTCATTATCCAAGTTTTTCAAGAAGTCTTGTGCTATTCTAAGAGCTTTAATTCTCTCATTGTTTACTACTTTTCATTACTTAAAAGTGAGGGAAAAATACGAGTGTTCACTTGTGCTAAACTTTGTAATACTTGAGTGATACACTTCGTAGTAAAACTATAATACTCAAAGTTGTTTGAGTGTGTTAGCTTTTATTTCTAGGATTTGAGTGTTTAAGGTGTAGTGGGAAGTACTACGAAGAGAAGATAGTGAGATCTTCTAGGTTGCTTTAGAACTCTAAGGGAAGAAATAAAAGTTCATTAAAATCCTACGGGTTGGACAACCCTAGGCGGAGACGTAGGCCTTTGTGCTGAACTTCGTAACAATTCCTTGTGTTTATTTCTGTTTTTATTTTTGCCTTATTCTTGCTTTCGTTCTTTGTTTTAAACAGTTTTAACAAAATCCAAAACAAACGTTTATAACCTTCTGCTTACTAACTGTTTTATTTTAAATAGTTTTCAAAGTCTTGATTTGTAAAACAGAGATCAATTTATTCCGCCCTGTAACTGATCTCAAGGCCTTGACATTTTCTGTTTTGCGAAAAACGCCCATACTCTATTCAACCCCCCCCCCCTCTAGAGTATTAATATGTTTATTCCATTACCATTGTGATCCTTTCATATACCATGGAGATGAAGAAGAAGTAATCATCAATAGTTTTTTCTCTGATATTATCAATTTCGAGGGTAAATTTTATGCTATAACAAGGGAAGCAAGGTTAATAATGATTGATCCCATGACTTACAAGGTAAGTGATCTGATCACAGTAAAGTTAGATTTGGACTGCGATTTGGACTTGATTTCATATTTAGTTGAATCGAATGGACGACTTTACGTAGTTTATAAAGAATTTTTTTTACAAACGCACAAGCGACCCCGAGTTGTTGGAGTTCGTAAGTTGGAGACTTACAGTGGGAAAAAAAATAAACAGATATGCACTTGGAAGGTGGTCTCGAACATAGAAAATCGTGTTTTCTACGTTAGTGAGTATGTGACCTTCTCTATCGCGGTGGAAGGTTTAGGCTGGCCTGAAGGTAACTACGTTCTTTTGCCGTATGATCACAGCTACGGTCTACGCACTCATCGGTTCTTTAGCGTGGATGAAAATCTAATAGATGACAAGATAGGACGAGGAAAGTGGTCCGGTAAAAAATATTTTGGAGATTGTTTGGCGTTTTACAGTTTACAAGATTCAAAAATTGGTTCCAAGAGGAAAGAGGTTGCTCCATTCGCCAAGATTTTCTGGCCCCCTCCTGATTGGCTTCTTAGTAAATTGATGTAGTTAACTAATAAGTCGATCGATCCCTATTTGTGTCATGTGTAGGCTCGTGCTTATTACTATATCCATGGCGGTCATGGTGGTGTTTAGGGGCATAATAACTACAGGTTGATCATTGAGCATGGATTCGGCTAGCTAGCAGAAGGTTCATGGAAGGGAATTTTTTTTACTTGTGTTAATTACTCTATGTTTCTAGGCCATTATGAGAACTCTGAAGTAGTGGTCTTTGTGTGTTACTAGATTTTTCTTTAGCTTGCAATAAGATTTTTATGTGCATTTGAAGGGAATTAAATAAGCTAAGTTTGACAATATCTATATCTAAATCTATACTTATGTATTAAAAAAGTTTTTAAAACGGAATATGTGTCACGTGGCACCCTTCACATGTATTAGATATATGTCACATCACCTTTCACAAGTAATATATGCCACATCAATTTGAGAGCACTTATATAGTTACAAAGTTATTATTTTACAATTTTATTTTAATTATATAGTTTATATTTTATAGGTCAAATAATATTTGTTGATTTTCAAAGTAAAAACCCGGTGCATCGTTTGGGGTACAAACTAGCTTGTTAGATTATTAATAGAATGCAGATACAATTTTATTTATGTTAGGGCCTTATGTTTTTGTTAAATATATTTCACATATGTAAGCTAAGGGAAACAACACTGCCAAATGCTAAATAGAAATAATAGTCAATCTCTTCATACTTTGTAGTATTATATAGGCAGCAAGGGGGCACATGCAATGAACGGCCAACCACATGGATGGGCTCATGCTAGCTACTTGTGTTTAAGCTTCGTAGCAGTGAACAGCCAACCATATAGATCGTGTTAAGCTTCTTAGTAGTAGTACATGTTTAGAATATTTATTGGCCTTAGAGGTCATTTAGCTCAATTCTCTTAGTAACTGTGCCAATTGAATCCGTGATTTCGAAAATAAAACCCGACTACGTGCTTCCGAAACTACACATAGCCTAGTACATATGGAATGGTGGGTAACTGAGTATGTATACAGAAGTATAGAACACCATGTCACCATACCATCCAAGTATTTTCATTGACCAAACCATCTAAACTGCCATTGCATACTTAAGTCTTTGGACTGATTTCGCAAAATTAACTTGGGGTGACTATGTGATCCAAGTACAGTATTAAACTACTCCCTAACCTAGTATTGTACGTAAGAATACATACTATTTTATGCTACTCCCTAACCCGAGAAAAGCTAAAGCAGTTGTATGTTGGAATACTAATTCTAAAGACAGTAATAATGGTGATTTCACCGTATTGGTTGTTTAAAGAAAGAAAGTTGGGTTTGTGGAGGCCAGGAGAAGCCTTGTGGAGTATTATACCAGATCCTGTCCTTGAAAATAATCAATTCGTAATCAAAAACACTTATTTCTCCGATATTATCAGTTTTGAGGGTAAATTTTATGCTACGACCAAGGAAGCAATGTTAATAATGATTGATCCCACAACTTACAAAGTAAGGAATTTGATCACAGTAGGATTAGATTTGGGGTATTTGTTCTTAATGCCGTATTTAGTTGAATCAAATGAACGGCTTTATCTAATTTATAAAGATAATTTCCTTTCATGTGATCCCGATCAGCAGGGATATATTAATGTTTTTATGTTGGAGGCTCACACTGGGATAAATAAACATCAGACATACACTTGGAATGTTGTTACAAACTTAGAAGATCGTGTGTTCTTTGCTACCGACTATGTGACCTTCTCTATTACGGCGGAAGGTTTAGGCTGGTCCAAAGGTAACTATTTGATTTTGCCATTTCATCCCTTCGGTCCACAACGCATTCATCTGTTCTTTAGCGTAGATGAAAATTTAATAGATGATGATTATGACATTTTACAATATTTTGCTGATTATTTGGGGTTTTATAGTTTACAAGATTTAAAAATGTATTCTGGTATGAAAGAGGTTGCTCAATTCACCAAGATTTTCTGGCCCCCTCCAGATTAGCTCCTTAGTAAAAACTAATGTGGTGAATTGGTAATAAGTCGATAGATCCCATTCTCTTTGTAGGTTCGTGTTTATTAATTTATCGATGGCAGCCATGATAGTGTTGATAAGTCGATTACTGATCATGGAATCGGCTAGCACAAGGTTTATGCAAATCCTATATTAGTCAATGATTCACTAGGCCATAATGAGAACTCAGTAGTAGTCTTGTGTGTTATTTTCTTTAGCTTGCAATAAGATTTAGTTAATTTATATGTGTTGATAAGTTTGACAATATTACTTTGTACTAGAATTTAGATATAATTTTATGGCAGGACCTTATGTTTTTGTTACATGTATATTTCACATATGTAAGGGAAGTAACACTGGCACTGCAAATCCCTATGCTTTTGTGATTATGTGAATAAGTATCCTAAGAAGGTAAGATTTGCATTAGGTGCACAAATTGTGTCTGTTTCGAAACTCTTATACAGTAGAGTAAAGCTGATTTAATAAAGCCAATAACAAGTGGAGTAATTAAGGACTACTCCCAGAAGTGTAAAATTGTAACCTAGGCCCTACTGCCCTAGGGGAAAGGTCGCAAATTGTAAGTCGATCGATGCCTATTTTTGTGTCTTGTGTAGGTTCGTGTTTAGTATTATATCAATGGTGGCTGGCCATGGTGGTGTATAGCGGCATAATAAGGTGATCATTGAGCGAGCAAAGGGAAATTTTTACTTCAATAGTAGTAAGTCTTGTGTGCTAGGTCATTAGGTTGCAGTAAGATTATTTTTGTGTTTTGATTGCCCTGCGTTGTCTTGAAATTAAATAAGTTTTACAATATTAATTACTAGTGTGTAGATACTAGATAAATTATGCAATTTATTGGCAGCACCTTTGTTTTCTCTACATATATTATAATTTTTTTTTCAACACTGTTACACTGACAAATCCAAAGTGGAAATCATAGTCAATCTCTGCATATATATTTCGTAACATAGATCGAACGAAGTATTATATAGGAACGGCCTGCATGGATCGGCTCATGCTTGCCAAATATCAGGTCATATATAATCGTGTTAACCTTCGTATAATCGTATTAGTAAAAAATTCTAATTTGGTCATCCTTATTGTGACCATTACTATTCTTTAATTCTATTGATCAATTATTTCTTTATTTTAAATACTTGGTCAAACCATTAAAATCTATTTCTGATTTTTCAAAAAAAATAAATTATTTTCTTAAAATTAATGTTTGATAAAATAAAAAAATCAGATTAAATTAAAAAAAAAATTAAAATCAACAAATTGTTCTTCAACTAGGTTATTCCCGTGCGATGCACCGTTAAAATTAAGGAAATTTTGCAAAAAACCACCTTTTATTAGCAATTTTTTTGCAAGAAACCACCTTATAAATTTTTTTTTTTTGCAATGACACGCCTTAATCAATTTTTTTTTTGCAAATCAATACATTTATGCCGGAAAATGAGGTTTGACCAATTTTATGGCGTTGACTACCCCAATCTACCCACGAAACCACCTCTCTCCTCAGCCCCACCCACGAAACCACCTCCCTCCCAAGCCCCACCCAAAAAACCACCCTTTTATGGCGTTGACCACCATAAACACACCCCCTCTTACGGCGTTGACCACCCTAAATACACCCCTTTAACGACATTGACCACCCTAAACACACCTCTATAGCCCTAGCCACCCTTCTCCTCTCCACTGTGAGTTTCCCTTATAAAGGTATGGTTTTGAAAAAAAAAAAAATTGATTAAGGTGTGTCTTTGTAAAAAAAAATTTATAAGGTGGTTTCTTGCAAAAAAAAAATGTTTATAAAAGGTGCTTTTTTGTAAAATTTCCTAAAATTAACCTTTCTTATAATTTATAATATTAAGTTGCTTTACAATGTCTATGAAGATTTAGAATTAAATATAAAAATAATCTACTTACATTTAAGGAAAGTAAATAAAATTGAAACCACAATCAAACATCAAACAAATTAGGAATGTGAAACTATAATTTAGGAGAGAAACTTAATTGGTTAATTGAATTGTATATAGACATTTATGCATTAAAGTCAAAAGTGTAGATTAAAAATTGAAAAAAAAAATCATTAATAATTGATGACATCATACATAAAATTGGAGGGAAAAAATTTAATGTGAGAATCACACGTAAGATTGTTTCATAATTGATGATGTCAGCAATGTTTTATTTTAGTAATAGTTAATAGATGTTCTTCATTGTTTTTCAACGTTCTTCAAAGTCGTCCTTCATCCATGGATGCAATTAACCACCAATTCATCATCTTTGTCCCGTAATACAATAACGCATCGACGAAGACTGAACATAAGCCCCAATGTACACAACGTCTACAAAATTTAAAGTTGTCTGAATTTGGGTTCTTGCAAATGTGGGTTGGTTTTAAATCCTAGAATAATACTATTTAATTGGACAATCTCAATCAAAGGATGAAAAATAGGCAATTAATTAAAAAAAAAAAAAAAATCTTTCTCTAATTTGGGTTGGTCTGCAAAATATCATCTAAGAAACCTTTTTCAATCCAAAAAAAACGAAGAATTCTTGTTTATATAAAAGGTATTCACCTAAATACTCGTATGTCATTACCTTTTTCACACATCTTATTTAATTATTGCCTACGACCTTATGTCATTTTAGACATTACCAATTACTCATTTACTCTTAATATAATTCATTATATTATTTAAATTGTTAGTGAATATGACCACCTTCATCATCTAAAATTAGTTGTACATTGTGTAGCTCGATGGTTGGTACAAGTTGGTCTAGTTCAGTAGTTTTGTATTAAAATGAGTCATCTATCTTTTATTATATATAAATTAAGGCATTTGAGTCATCTATATTTTATTATATACTTCTTCCGTTTCTATTTAGTTGACGCATTTGATTTAGGCACATATAATATTAAGGAGAAGAGAGAGAAAGAGAAAATGAAAAAGCAAGTGTGGTAACTAAATACAAGGAAAAAAAAAATTCCAAAAGGAAATGTGTCAACTAAAAAAACCTCCTAAAAAGGAATACGTGTCAACTAAAAAGAAACAGAGGTAGTATAAATTAATCTTGGTGGTGGTTACGAGGTTGGGTGTTGCTGGTGGTGTGAGTTGGTTGGCTAGGTTGTTGGTGGTTGTGATGGGGTTTTAAATCTAAGTGGTGGTGAGAGAGTGGTTCCAAGGTGGGTGTTGTGGTGTTTAGTTTACTAATCAATATTAATAGCTTGGCCCCTCAACTTTTAGGAATTTAAAATAAATTCTAAAAAAAAAGGTAATGTTATATGTAGCTCTAAGAGCTATATATAAGCATTAAATATACTCTTGGGAATTGTATAAAATTAGGAATTTATGTCAAAAACACGCGTAAATCAGTGTTATTAGTGTTTATATTCTGATGATTTCTTAACTTTTTACGATTTTCAAGAGTAAATTTAATGTAAAACGTTTTCCCAAAAAAAAAACAAAATAAAATAAGGACATTTTGTGATAAACTACCTTTTAAAGCATTTTTTTTTCGAGAAACTACCTTATAAAAAAAATGTTGTAAAAAACTACCTTATAAAAGCTAAATGTTGTAAGATACTACCCTTGGTCGGAAAGTGAGAGTTGACTTAATTTTTTCGGCGTTGACCTAGTCATGTGCCGGTCACGTGACGTTTAATTCATCTTTCCCCATTTTCCCCGAGCCTATCCATATCATACCCAAGATGAATTAAATGTCACGTGACGTTTGATTTCATGTTTGAACAAACAAAAGCTACTTATTTTAAAGTCTGGATTTTAGCTGAGTAATTAATTTTCTAGATATTTTCAGTTTTTCAATCGTCAGCTAAATGCTAATGTTTCTTTTGAGTGATTTTTTTTATTCTTTTTTTTTTTCAATTGATTGTAAAGTACTTCAAACTTTGGAGATTTACTTGGGTCTGACATTGGCATTTTGAGGAAAAAAATTGCAGCAATTGTGGTGGTGATTTTGCATGACTACTACTACTGTTCAAATTGGACGAATGATGGTGATTGCATCTATGCCGTGATTAAGTGCTAGCAGATTGCGCAGCGAAGCGATTTGAGGTGATGGTGGCTGCCGCTGCAATTGGGCGTGAATCAATTTCAAGCATCATCTTTTTTAAGTCGGCAATCAAAATCAATTGTTTATAGCCCACTGTCAATCAATTAATTTTACGCTTTTTAATTGATGTAAAATTAACTCTAATCTGTATAATGTATTCATGTTACCAACAATCATTCGATTAACATACTGGAAAAAAAAATTAATAATAGATTCAATAGGTTACCCAAAAAAAGGGAACCATAAAACAAAAATTGCTTTGTACTGGATGAAAACATTAATCAATGAAGTCCCTAAACTATTTGCTTTGTCAACGTCCCTAAACTATTTTCTGAATTGATGACTCAACATCCCTAAACTAATTTGCCGAGTCATAGTCCCTAAACTAATGCTTAGTCAGCTTAGTCCCTAAACTTTTGGCTAGAAAACACCTTTCAAGGTGGGGGATAGGGGTGTTCAAATTCGGGTACTTGTTAATTCGTCCCATGTCCCAACCCGAATATCTCGGGTACCCGAGATATTCGGGTCGGGACATAGGGTACCCAGATTTTTGAATGATTGTAATTAATTTTCTCCCAACAGATAAAAATTTGAAAAACAATTTAGGTCTACTACCTAAACTCCACACAATCGAACAACCAAGATATAAAATAACCAATTACAAGCTTTGTTTCAATAATAATAATAAAATTTGAAATATACAAAGAATTAGAAGAAAAAAAATATAACTAGAAATTGCATTAGCATCAAGGAATTGGATCTTACATATGCAAATAAATAAATAAATTTATATATATATATAAAAGAACATATTCTTATTCAATGGTCATGGTCTCTGTACGTGTCTGAATCTTCTTTATTTCTGCGACATTGTTGGGCGACAGTTGCAACATAGAAACAATTGATTCTAGCGACCACCGCGAAATTGTTGGGGAAGTAGCACGCAAAGACCACCGACGACGGAGTAGGGCGAAGCAGCAGCGAGCCTTCGACGGAGGTGGGCGGTTGAGAAGAGGTTTTGATAGTTTGAGAATAGAGAAGTAGGAAGAAGCAATTGAATTAAACAGAGAAGGAAGTAAAGGAAGAAGAAGGCAGGAAGAGAGAGGAAGAGAGGAGCGGCGGAGAGAGAAAGGAAGAGAACCCTAATTTTTAAACTGGTATAGTGGTATACTATGGGTTGGGCTTACTGCTTATTAGTAGCGAATTTTTTTTTAAAGTTTAATTTGTTATCGGGAAATCGGGTACCCGATAATGGAATAATGCGCCCCATGTCCCGACCCGGATAGAAGGCAATTTTCCCGAGTCGGGTACCCGTCCCGGTAAAACAGTTTTTTCTCCTAAATTTCCCATCGGGTAGTTACCGGGTCATCAGGAAATCGGGTCGGGACAATCGGGTCGGGTTTTTTGAACACCCCTATTGGGGGAGGGACTAAAACTCTCCAAAAAAAGTTGAGAGGGATTAAAACTCTCAAAAAAAAGTTGAGAGGGACTAAAACTTACCTTTATACAATAGTCCAGGGACTGTATTTATGCTTTACTCCATCAAATTGATGTTTTAAATAAAAAATATAAAAATACAAAATAACTAAAACCTTTACACAACTGCGTCTCCAAATAGGGTTACTTGTTCATTAATTTAAAATACATATATACTACTCGTATATAGCTCATAAACCCTACTTGTGAACCAGTACTTTCCGCTTCCATGGCTTCTTTCTCCGCAAAACCCTCGAGAACCCTAACCATCACAAGTACCGCCGCAAGCACCACAAATTCCGCCGCAACCACCACCTCAGCCGAAGATCATCAATCACGCAAATGGGAAGATTTACCATCAGACATAATATCAGACCTTATCAAATACCTCGACCTCAAAAGCGACATTTCTCGCTTTCAAGGTGTTTGTACGTCATGGAGATCTGCTCTCCTTCTCTCCGACATCCCTGAAGACCCCACTTATTTCGACATCCCTGGAATCAATGACTCTAGCCCCCCTCTTGCTCTCTACCAAACCAACTTCTACTTTCTCTCTCCTTTGAATCCCTCCCTTGGTGGTCAATGGGTCGCTAGAATGGCTCAAATCGAGCCCAAAAAATTTCACCTCCTCAACCCCTTTCAACTCCATGAATAATCTGACTACTTCGCCTCTTCCCCATCTGTTACTGCTGAAATCAACCTTTTGAATTGTCGGGTTCAACAACTTTGTACTTCATAGTGTGTTTTTCAGGCTAAGGGGTCGTCGGATGACCTCATACCCGCTTCCAAGAAAGTTGTGGGTGGTTGGAATTTCAAATCGGATTATCTCTTTGCTGTTATGGAGGATAGGTGACAAAAACCTTACAAGGTTAGTTTGAAGAAACATTTGACCATACTTGGCGTATACTTGACATTGCCTGTCGTAATGGGAGATTCTATGCCTTCGATGCGGCGGCGTGGCGAATGGGTGTCGTCGATGTTGATTATTATAGTAGTGATCAAACTCCTAAGATGAAATTCTTCAATGTCCCTAATATTAAAGGCGTAAACATAAGGGATTGTTACAGTTTGATTATGGATGGTCAAATTTATTTACTTGAGACAGTGTACTTGGTTCCCTCGAATGGGCGTCTGTTTATGGTTCTTGTTGCTAATCTTGTGGAAGAGCTTGATTCTGATGAGGTGGAAGGAAGTGAGATTAAGATTGATAAGGTTGATGATGCGAACAAGAGATCAATTATGTTCTTCTATGTTCTGAATAAAGGACGAAAAATGGAGTATAACACTTGGGAGAGGGTGTCCGATATAGGGGATAACATCTTTTTTATTGGGTACGACTCATCGTTTTCGCTACCCTAGGCTTCGAAGAACCTTCCCCAGTGGAAACCTGGGTCTATTTGCATGTTTACCTGGCCGTTTCCAATGACTTTTGACTATGGTAAGCCAAAGGGTCTTTATAAAGTGACATTTGCAGAATTCTGGAGGTATTTGAAGATAAACCAGCACAACACAGTAGAAGAAGATAAAAAAGGTGTTGTGCCTTGTGATTTTCAAAGTTACACTTAGAGCACTCTCACTCATGGGTATATTTTTGGCCATGAGGAGAATTATGTGAAAAAAAATGAGTATTATAGCTCCACACTCATGGGCAATAAAAAATATGACCACGAGGAATTTGGCAAATGCCCATAGCTATGGCTAATGGAAAAAGCTACAGTGAAGGTGGGCCCCCATATTTAATTAAAATAAAACTTGAAAATGTAAAAAGGAGTCGTTGCAAGGCTCACCTGCAGGGACCGTCAGAGCGACCAATCATTTGCAGCCACGTGTCCCTGTCAGTCACCAAGGTTGACAACTTATGGTTAACATTCATAATTATATAAATAATTAGATGATGATGATAATGGGTAGGAGAGAGAAAGAGTAGGAGAGAGAGTGGTGTGGGGTTTTATTTTAGCCCATGAGTGTGTAAGAAGTTATAAAAATAAAATGCCCATAAGAAAAAGTGGAAAAGAGGAGTGAGAAAGTAGGTAGAGAGATAATGGCATTTTTTTTTTCACCCATGAATAAGAGTGGTCTTAGCAAATTTGCTTATGGCAGCAAAACAAAAGCAGGGCATCTCATTTATGCTGATTTTTTTTTTTTACATTAGTGTTGATTGGCTACTTTGTTTACAGAGTTACAGACCCACTCTTTTGATAATACTATAATAGCATGCCTGCTTATAATTTTTTCATTGGTTTCCTCTTCAATCGATTTCTTTCACCAATTTGGCAATTAAATCTTGAAAAATGTCCAAAATTACAAATTTACCTACTCAGTAAAAAAAACCTCTTACTGTCTTACAACAGTACTACCCCAATAATTTTTTTTTAAAAAAAAAATCAGAATTTTAGAGTGGAGCGCAAGCAATCTCCGTGATTAAAACAACACTGTCACTTTCTCTCTCATCTGACAGTAGTCAGTACAGAGTACACTACTCTTCTTCAATGGAGTCCATCCTTCCCATCATCGTCGTCACCCAATCACCGTCAAACTTTCCCTTAGACCTAACCTCCGCCGCCCAAACCCACCACCTAACCACCGGAATCTGGTCGGAACTTCCGGTGAACTTCCTCTACGGCCTCATTAAATACCTCGACATCAGCACCGACATCCCCCATCTTCGAGCTGTTTGCCATTCATGGCGTTCCAAACTTTCTCTCTCTCTCCTCCCTTCTTACTCCATTGGTTTTGGTTCCATCCCTAAACTCAACTTCAAAACCACTCTACCCGGATCCGGTTATCTTCTTGCTTCTCATTTTTACCTCATTTCCCCTGTTAATGGCGGCCATTGTTACTCACCTTGGCTTGTGAGAATCCAAGGGATTGCGACCCAAAAATGGCGCCTGTTTAACCCGGTTAACAGCTCCGACCCGTATTTTCTTTCCACCCCACGTCTTAGCTCCGAAATCAGCTTGTTGGATCATAGGGTTCTAGAACTTTCTTCGCCATTCTCGCTAATTTCGAGTGGGAATAAGAGCAAGGTTTTATCGAAGAAAGTTGTTGGGGGCTGGAATTATTTGGCTCCTACTAATCTTAATGTTTTTGCTGTTTTGATTTTGCTTGAGGAGGAATTTGGTGGAGGGTTGCTTTTTATGAAATTGGGGGATTTGGAATGGGGTAAAATTGAAAAGGATGATGATAATATTTGCAATTCTCTCAATATTGCTGACATTGCTTTTTTCAAGGATGATTTCTATGTTTTTGAGATGAATACTTGGCATGTTGGAATTATTGATCCTTCTGATTGCGATTTCAATGAGTCCCCTGAAATGGATTTCATCGATGCACCGGAGCTCGATTTCGGGGTTTCGATGAGTGATGTTGGTGGTGTTTACTTTGTGCCTGCTAAAGATGATTTGTATTTGGTGTTCGAGGTGTTCGAAGAGATTGATTTCAAGGAAAAGCTGATGATATTCATGCTAGATGAAAATGAATGGGAATGGAAACGTGTTACCAATATTGGTGACAATGTGTTTTTCATTGGGTCTGATGTCTCTTTTGCTGTCTCGGCTGAGCGCCTTCCGGGCGGGTGGAAGAGTGGGACTGTTTGCTTGTTTGATCGGACATGTAAACGGTTTATCGATCAACATGTCAAGGCTTTAGGCGATGAGATGCCGGAGGGGGCCGAGTGTATGGATTCCATCACCTATCCCAAGTACTGGAAGTTGTTTCGAATGTTCGATATCGATGATGAGGAGAAAAGTGTTGTGCCTTTAGAAGATCTTGATGATAAAGAGGCTTATACTAAATTGTTCTTTCCTCCTCCTCCTTGGATGAAGTGGCATTCTCCTTCGCTCGATGATGTTGCTGTACAATTGCACAATCTCAAGTTTACTGATGCTGATGATAATCATGGGACTCGTAATGTTGCTGCTGGTGGTGCTGATTTGCTCGAAGAAATTCCGTAGTTTTGGTTGCAATATGAAGTTAAAGAAGTAGTTAATCAAGCAATGTTAAGGTTAAGTTTGCTAAATCTTACTACTTTACATATAATTTAGCTTTATGAATTAGTCTTGTCTAGTGTATTGAGCTCTGGTGTCATATTTTGGTGTTTGCTAATTACTTAGTAGTGCTTGTTAAGTAAATTAAATAGTACTGTAGTGGACTAATGGTTGTTAAGTAACTTGGTGCTGACTACTTTGTGGAGTTATAATATGGCACTCTGGTATGAACTTTTTCCCCCTGTTATTGACATAAGTGTTTGTGATGAAAACTACAATAAATTTGATGATCTATAATTGTTTACCATATTGTGTGATTTATAATAAGTAGAAGTGGTAGTTACATAGAAGTATTATTTCATCTTGGTTGAATTTAGGCCTGTATCTCATAAAATGACTTTGACCTGACCTTCTTCCTCTGTTTAAGCTTTGTTAATGTAGCGAAATGTCTGAAATTGGTCATGAGACTAAAGTATGGAATGCTTGGATAGTTGGATGGTGTAATAAGGTAATGAATGATCTTGAATTGGAAATATTACACAAAAGTTGGATTTTATATGGTTCATTGTTAGATTAGCCAGAGTAGGGCTGTTTTTTTAGTATGGATCAAGTTGATGAGGCCTATAGTGGATCAACTTGGTTTAATTTGGGTCTAGAACTCAACATAGTAGAGTTTCAATAGTGAATTCCTATAGACCATAGTTTCCCCTTTATTATCCATTGTCTCGGGCAAATTGCTAAACCATCTCGTGAGTTGAAGTTCGTTTAGTGACACTTGGTCATCCTTGCATAAATATTGTAATTTGCCAACACTTGAACAATCAAATAAAGGGCACCTTGTTATCTAGTTATCACCACCTCTGCTTGTAGATTCTAAGTCTTCAACAGCATTCATTTCTTTCGTATTGGACCTGAAGAGACATGATCCTCTGATCTACTGAAGTATACACCACAGTGCCGTGACCTGGTGGGAAGATGGTACATTACTTAAGGTGGTGGGGGGCTGACCAAGGATAGATGAATGTTTTTCATATAACAATTTGACAGAACAATGATCAGAAATTAGGATTGCTAATTTTTTAACCATCTATTTGAAACATCCCTGAAATAGCTTGAAGAGTTGTGTTGTTCAACCGTTCAACTAAGTTGTCCTGCAACTGCAAACCATGAAACTCATAGCAAATCCAACCTTTTCTTGCAATCTTACCTGTACTGAACAACAGCCTGACTATGCATAGGGAGAACTGAGACAGAATGCTGTAGAACTTAAGCCTAAACCATCTAGCATGCTTGTCATTTAAGGACAAATCAAATATGCTATTAACGCAATCTTGTGCTGATATAGTGTTCCATGGCTTAAGGATATAAGATGCGAAGATTAAAAAGTTGGCAAAGCTGAGCTGAAGGGTGGATTATGATAAAATCATAAAGGTCTAAACTTCGTAATTTTGTCTACTTTAGCTTAAGGGAGTATTCGAGTCAAGACAGTGGAGGTATAGCCATATTATAGAATAAGACTTTTTTATGAAAGAATGAGCTTTGATTTGTTCACATAAGTAAATATACTTTCATTCAGACAAGTTTACAGAAAGTTGAGTATAACATATCTACTCCATGAGAGTCATTATTCTTCTAGGTAATTAGCAATTTTCATCTTCTTTCTCAGAATATAAATTTACACACTATCAATTCTATAAATAAAAATTTCATAATTTAACTAAAACTCTTACAACACTCTTGCATCAACTATTCACACACTCCTTTTCACTATTTTTTGTGAAAAAAAAAAAAATACAAAGGTCAAAAACATTCTACTACACATATTTAAGAAAAACTAAGACAGGGAATTAAATATTAAAGTCTAGTAAGTCCAAGAAGATACATCAATGAACAAAAGATAGTGAGACCTTCTCAAGGACTTGAAGTGCTTCTTTCATAGAAGGCCTCTTTTGGGGTACCAAAGATGCACAACTAAACCCTAATTTAAATATGCTCATCATAGCATCTTCTTTGCCCTGTATTTCAGCCCTAAGTGCAACATCAGCTATCCTTAAAACCCAATATCTATCCTCAAGCCCAGAACTTGGGGTCCATTGGCCCAATTCCCTGTCCAAATATACTTTACCAGTAAGAAGTTCAAGCAACACTATCCCAAATGAGTAAACATCCCATTTTGGGTTAGGCTTGAGGTTCTTCAACGATTCGGGTGCGTGATAAGGTGATCCAACCCCGTTTGTGTTTCCAAACGGGTTGATATACGGGCTGCCACTCACCGAGAGGTCTTGGGTACCGTCGTACGAGCCCATGGATCTTTTGCTCCCAAACTGACGAGCCGAGCCACTTCCTTTGTTGATGCCATAAACAAGCCAACTGAGCCCAAGGTCACTTATGATAGGTTCCATGTCTTGTGTTAAGAGAATGTTACTTGGTTTGATGTTAGCATGTACGTATCTCTTGTCGTGAATATAGTTTAATCCCCTAGCAAGTCCTCTTGCAATCCTTAGCCGAGCTTCTAGAGGTAAATGATATGGCGTGGAACCACTCTTCTCTATAATTTTCAATGATAATTGAAAAGAAAAAATTACATGAAAAGCATGCATTAGTGAAAGAAAAAGCAAGGGCATATATAAAAACCAACAAAAGATGACACTACTAAAGCGAATTTCACTATGAAAAGAGCTCAATTAATACCATAAAAACTTTACAAAGCTCCCTTAAATTAAGCTCAAATATAGTGTACTTTTTAAGTTTTAGCACTTCATAAAGCTAAACCCTTTCCTTAGCACATAATTTAATTCCTATCATAGTAATGACTAATGAGGACTCTAATAATAGACCGAAACCTCTAATGTGTTAATTTAGTTTAACTTTTGCAGTTCGTGAGAGCCCTTGAAAGTGACTAGGTCAGGAGAACGGATAAGGGAATCCTCATCCTCAAACCGTAATAGGCAGTAAAACAATAATAAAACTGCCTAAACTGATGCTTAATCTCTCCTTCGGTATGAATGTATTTGGGTATCGAAGTTACTTTAAACAACTCCTTTTATATAGTGGTGTTAATGTATTAGGGTACTTTTTACAGCAAATTAAATCCCTTCCTTAGCTATATTGAATATCCATTATTTGAAAGAGAAAGTATCAAAAAAGAAGAAGATTGTTTTATAAAAATAAAGTGGTACATTGGTTTTGAATAGCTGTAACTTTTCTGACCAAAAATATGGTTGAAAAAAATACCACCGACAAAAAAGAAGAGAACAAAAAGTTTAGCTGATTGAGTTCACTTTGAGTATAACTACAGGCAAAATAAGCATGCATAAAATGCTATGATAGTAAAGCATTTTGCAGTTTATATAACACATATTTTCTTCTTTATATTTTTCTTTCAGTATATATTTAGAGTTATAGAGTACAAAAAAGACTGCATTATTTTTTCATACACTATTTAATACTTTAACCAACTAAATTAATTTTCTACCATTAAACACATTACTATGTTATTCATAAAACCCGCGAAAGAAATACGCCATAAGTGATTATAGAGACCCACCAGGCCACCATTAATCAAATTATGGAGACCAAAGTCCTGTAGTTTTCTTAGATGGGCCAAATTTTGATATGATATGTTCTTATCTATGAATTCAGCCCGTGACACAAGGGAAGGAAATTTCCCAAATTCTATGAATTTTTTTTTATGTATTCATCTGTTGTTTGGTTTGGATGTCTGGACCAGCTTTAAAATCAGTGTATAACTAATGCTGAATCTGTCATATGGTTGTGGCAGAACTAAGATTTACTACCAAAATCAATAGCTCCCAAACAAATGACATGACAGTGGGCTAGAAACGCCCAAGAGAAAGGAGTTTCTCGTCATTGAGTGTATTTGGCCTTTTTCCTCCCCTAATTCCCCCGTGTTCTTCGATATAGAACACTAAAAACATCATCCTTAAAGATGCACATAACGTGGGTGGTAATCTACACACTGGATAGACCGATATTTCTTCACACTAGATCATCACTCCCTTCTACCTCTAGTTCTGTTTGTTTTTAGTTGCTTCTATTATTTGTGACTATAATCATTCAATCATTCTACTTTAAACAAATTACACAGGTTTTTAAGCAAGTCACAAGAATTTTAACATATTAAAAAAAATACACTAAAGCAATGTCATTATGGCGCATGTTAGACTGTTAATTACATAGCTTTATGGTAAGCAACAAATTGTAACAGAAAAATGGCTTTTTTTTTTCTAGCTAAAAGACCCCATCAAATTGTGATTTTCTTAGTTCTTTTATGAGTTACTGTACTTGGCACTCTAGATTTTTACACTAACAAATGTCATTCACCTAATCTGAAGACAAATTATGCTGGACTCATTATAAACAATCACATTAACAACAGTTAAACCTATAACATTTCCCAAAGATACCAAATTTGTCAAAATATCATATCAAACAACCCAAAAAAGTGAAAACATTACAATAAAAATAGACCATGCAAAAATTAAAAGGGCATATCATATCCCTTAATAAAAACATAGGACCAAGCAAAGTAACAGTACTGTGGTTAAATACACTAACAATCGATTGGGTTAATTTTGGGTTAGGTCAAGGTTAATTGGTTAGTAATTAACAAACCAAATCTAATTACATGCATCACTAACATAAACAATGTTAAAATAAAATTAAAAGAAGAGATTGAGAAAAGGACTTACTGTAAGCAGAAGTAGCAAGGCTGCCATTAGAGATGTAATCATAGATAACAAGCTTTTCATCCGAAGCCCAATAGAACCCACGAACACGAACCAAATTTGGATGCCTAATCTTAGCAATAGCCTTAATATGTCCTTCAAAATCCCTCAACTTGTCAACTGCAATCTCTCCTAACCTCCTAACAGCAAATGTAGTTCCATCTTGTAACACTGCTTTGTACACAATACTTGACCCACTAGCACCCAATATATACGCCG